CATCTTTAAAAAAATAAACTGTTTAGTTTATTATATAATTATAAGTTAAATTATTTTACAATTAATATTAAATTATTTTGTATTTTCCGTATAATAAAAGAATGTGTAAATCGTGTAACGTGATAATTTCGAATGTCGATCAAAAACAAAATTCCACTATGCTAATTCAAATATTAACACTTTCAAATACTTTCAAATTAATACTAATACTTTTACTATTGGATATCGTAATTATAATATATATATATATATACTTTATTTTTTAAAAAATACAAAAACTAAATATTACATTTTTACTAATGACTTACTATCATTTAACGTGATTCGTTCAAGTCTTTTCCCATCTTTTTTGTAATCTTTATTTAAACCAGCTACAAGTTTATGTGGTAATTGCACTTTTTAAATCAATCAACCTTCTCCATGAATAAAATGATGGATTCCACCTAGTACTAATATCTCGAATCACTGTATGAATATCTGGATAACTCAATTCTTTTTGCATATTTTCAAGATTTTCTTTTTGTCTAGGAATAGTGAAGAAGTTAATTAATCTTTTGCATCTTAAAACAAATGCTTGAATGTTTATATTGATTTATTTACAACTAATTGTAATGTGTGAGCAAAATACAAAATCCATCATTGGTAATAGACTCTTCTGACGAAAAATAAAAATTGTTTCTTCTTTATCATTAATTAAAATAATGCCGTTATTTACTGATACCGAAGACATATTACAGATATTCGAATATATAAAAATTATTTGACACCAATTTTGAATATTGATATGCTAATACTAATAATAACGCATTGAATAATGGCTGTGCAATATTATTCTGTGGCGCAGTAAATCTTTAATTGTAATTTTCAAGCAATGAATGCTAAGCCTTCAACAATTAAAAAACACATTACAAATCATGTAAAGATGAAAATTTGATGTTTGTTGGAATTATTAGAGAAATCTAGAACCCTTGATTTTTTTTTTTTTTATTTCTTTTACTTTTCCCCTTTCTTTTTTTTAAATTATCATTTTTTTTTCAATTGGTAAAATTGTTTAAATTTTTGAATTTTTAAAAATTTAGATTTTTTTTTTTTTTGACTTTTAATTATGGCTCAGCGGTGTTGCTGCTGGTAAAGATTTTCAGATTCCTTTTTAATTTTTTCGCTCTCAAGTTATTGTAATCCTTTACTTCATCAGTTAACAACAACAACAATATTATTATTACAGCATTAGTTTACGTGTTGCAACAATACTTATTGCGATAATTTTGTTGGCAAGTTTCTTACTTTTTGAATTCAAATTAACTGGTTGATAAATCTATTAACAGTGATTAAAAATAAATAAAAATGTCGTCTTTATTATTGTTAGGTTCAAAGTGCTATAAGTGCATATAACGAATTTAAAAATTTTGATGGTAAATAAAAAATCGTTAAATAAATTCGAACTTTTCTCGATAAATTCCCTTAACATGGTTTCTTTTTTTTTTTTTTTTTTTTTTTTTTTGCTTTAAAGGCACATCATTTTCCAATGAAACTATTGGTATCGTCGTAGGCAT